CTTTAATATCAGTTTAACATAACAGCAAATGTACAACGTTTCGACAAGGTTTTGTCATCATCAAGTACCCATTCGTTTTTCTTCATTACCCATTCAAGCCGTCTCCAGCCATTATTAGTCTCAAAGTGGGTTCCTCGTCATCGAATTTGAATCACTGCTGAATTGTTTTGTAATTATCATGTACATATAACCTGTACAAAATTTACTGGGAAAATAAATACTAATTACAGAGTCCCTGAAAGTGCAATTTTTTTGGTTATGCTCGTTTAGCCATTTTATACTACTGTTACACATCTAACAAGTTTGACATAGCATTACCTACTGAAATAGCCTTGCATAGGAATAACTGACTGGTGAATTCATTTTACAAGACATACATCATGCCATTTACCAGACTAATAAAAGAAAACCCTAACGAGAAAATTAAATCATCTCACATGTTTAGAATAATCATTACTCACTCTTCTAACTTAACAACAACAACATATTTACAGAATATTTTGTTTAAAAGAAATTGGAGGTGGTGAATCCAAATGATGCAACAAGTTTCATCTCTCTAGGGAGATTTGGAGGTGTCTTAAATTACTCAAACAAGTCTGCATTAGGAGTTTGAGTCTTTTTAATTACGTAAAATTTCTCTCTTATGAACATCTTGTAACCGAAAACTACGAGTGGATGGAAGTAAACAGTCTTCGTTACATATAACCCATTAATTACACCCCCTGGTATCATCTTATATTAATATTTCAAGCATTTTTATCCTTGCCACTTAGATCAGTTCCTAATTATTAAAAATCAAATACAGGCTTTGGTACAGCCACTTGTATTACTTGTGACAAGAAAAGAGAAACATAAGAAATGCTGTATTTCACATTTCCTATTTGAATAACACTGAAAGATAAAAGGGCAAATAAATGCAAAAAAAAAAAAAACCCAAGAAGATACCAGTCTCAAAGCTCGTATTTGTTAAGAAAAAGGTTACAGGACTCTTACACATATTTTAGTGAAATAAGAGATTCTTTCAGGAAAGGTGTGCTTTTCGTATCTAATGGTAAAGCTAAGGTACACAAATATAAATTTTGGCACGGTAAGAGCCATCTACAGTTAAAACAGTTTTACACTTCTAACAGGATAGTTGGCTTTTGGAATGGGTTGCCCTCAATTGGGTGGATGCAGTAAATTAAGGGAGTTTAAGGGTTCGATAAAAATAACTGGATTTGAGTTTTTCTTTAAATTGGCTGGCACAGGCTCAGTTTATCAAGCCCCTTGTTATTTTTAAATGTTATGTTCAAACCATATCTAATTTCAGCTCCAAATGCTATTCCAATACAGCACAGCAATGCTTCACAAATCCAAAGGATGTTATGTAAAGAAAGTTCCCAACAATATATATATATATGTGTAATCATTATTCCAAAACAAACAAATGTATAATATATTAGGAACACTTTTTCACAGTAAATATTATAATTTTATTTCTTATATATCATTGCAGATTGAAATAACTCAACATATGTGGAATATTGGAATGTCACAAGAAACTGGTAATGGTTTTGGTAAGAGTTCCATATGGCACCCCCACTCAATTTAAAAAAAAATTCATCAAAGTAATATTTATGTATTAATAAATCATATTAATAGTATGATCTGATAATTTTAATACATTATTATACCACTTACTTCATTAATTAGATGTGCAATCTTCTTGGGGATAAACTTTACAAATGTCTTGTATAAAGGCATCAAAAAGGCTACTTTTATCAGAATATAATGTTCTCCACATGTATTCACACAAATGCTTGTCAAATGTCTTTGCCCTGGTATGTGTAGTTGGTAGTTGTCTTTTGACAATACACCCCTTAAAATAAACTCTTTTCAGAGTCTTTTTTATCCAGGCAATTCTACAATTTTTGGGTGGGGTGTGCCATATAGAACTCTTTCCATGGTTTCTTAAAAGGATCATCAAAGATTTATAATTAGACTGATATTTTTTATATTATATGAGAAACAATATTTAATGGTGTCTCGTGGCAAATAAGATAGTTTCAAATTTATAAAACTGCTCAGCATCATAAAATAGTGATTCTTTTCACCCTAAAGTTTAAGATACTTTAATTTTTTGGTAGTTTATTGAAGTGACTATATCACATCATCAACTAAGGAATAGACATTAAAATATGCACTGGTATGATGGCTAGTTTCTATTTACTTGATCATTGTTAATTTTAATCCTCAATCAAAATCATGGAAACAATGTTTCACATGCACACCAAATTTATTAGTAGGAAGTTAAAAAAAGAAGATTACATGTTTTTTTTTGGGGGGACAACATGATCCACTATCTTTGGGAGATCAATAAGGACACAAGGTTCATTTATGTATCTGAAGATGATGGATTATATTGTTGATTGAAACGTGTATTGTTTTTTTTATTTTAACTTTATACAAATAAATTTACTCTGCACATCAAACATTGGTGTCATGATTTTTCTTGAATATCAAGCATCTCTTCAAGTTTTGAATGATCTGGAAATTGGATTTTTAAAATGACTTGCAACCCGACAAACTTACTAATAATAAAGAAAAAATATATTCTTTCTCTTCAGCCACAACTTACAAAATCTTGCTTTTCAATAGAACCCCTTCACACTTAGTACATTAATAAAGTTGAAAACACTGAAGAAGTGAGGTCAACCTAACTTATGGACAACAAGAAACCACGTGGTCCTAAAAAGCTGTTCATGCACACCCACTCCTATGAACGAAGTAAAAATAGAATTTAAGCACACCCTTTATTTTTCAAGAATTCGTCAAATCCCTTTTCTTAGACACCATCACTGCTTAAAGCCTCGATCAAGACTTGTTATTCCAGACAATAAATTCCTCTTATAGCTATAAACTTACAATGGTTTACCAAATAACCCACTGTGTGTTTAAAACTTCACTGGAGAGGCAAATTATTGTTGGTGGGTGAAGAGCTAACTCAGAGCTGGATGATTAACTTCATTACATCAATGTATCACGTAAAATAATCAATTAATTAAAATTAGTATTAATGATTATTACTGTTTTTAATTATTCCAACTATCCAAGCAATCAAAATACTGCTATTATAATTTCTGATTAAATCAGGGTTGTTCAGTTTAATCAGTCAGGGTCGTGCTTCACAAAAATAATCAAACCTAGTGTTTCCAATAATTATTTTTTATTATTATTATTCCAACTATCCAAGTCCCATGTGAGAATAACCAATTACTTTAATATAATCCATTAATGAGCCCAACAGTTAATTGATCAGTAAATCTTACTAATCACCCAGCTCTACCCTGATTGGCCAAAAAAAAACCCCTTCTGTCTCCTCCCTTTTTTCTTGATTACAAAATAATGTTCTTCAATTTTCAATTCATGAAGCAGGTATAATTTCTGGAATATTTTTAGTGAGCAGAACTAACACTGTGGGATGAATCATCTTTGTCCACTCTCAGATCAGACAAAAAATGCAGAAATTTAACAATTTAGATAAGAAAATGGTCAACAAATTGGTAAAGTTTGCTGATGATATTTTGGGTGTAGTTAGATGCTGTTTTTTTTTACAAAGGGTTTGTTTTGAATTTCGTGCAAAGCTACACGAGGGCTATCTGCGCTAGCCGTCCCTGATTTA